TCTTGTTCCTCAGAGCTGCTCTCCAGCAGGTCACCCCCAACCTGTCCTGGTGCAGGGGGTTATTCCTCCTTAGGTGCAGCACCCTGCACTTGCCTTGATTGAAGTTCATCAGGTTCCTCTCTGCCCAACTCTCCAGCCTGTCCAGGTCTCTCTGTGTGGCACCACAGCCTTCTGGTGTGTCAGCCACCCCTCCCAGTTTTGTGTCATCATCAAAGTCCTTTACAACCCTGACTTTCACGACACGTTTATCCTACAGGTCTCAAAATAAAAAGAATGCCAGGTGTGTCCATCACATCAGAATTCCTTCCCTACAGAAGAGATGCATTTAGAATCTAGAAGTTCGCGATGTTATCACCATACCACAAATATTGAGTGTCTTGATCGGCAACAAACCCAAAGGAATGAAGAAAAAGTCCTATTTTGTTATAAGGTGACCCTCTGCTTATGGCAGAATGTCCTTGCTTTCTGTCCAGGGGAAATATTCAGGTGCCAAGACGTTGTCAGAAGAAGAGCTCTCTCCCTGCCAGACAGAAGAACCTTTGCTCCCCGCTTTACGTCTGCGCTTGGAAACACGAGGGCATCCTGAGGACATCACCAAACCGGATACGTGCAGAACACCCCTCCAGGAATAATTACATACTTGTTCTCAAAAGGAAAGGAATGTCAAAAAGGAGATTTTTTTTCATATTAGAGATTTGCTGTGCCACATATCTTTGGAAAAAAAAATAAAATAACCTGCAAGTACAACTTGCTTTTAAATTGAGAAAAATGACATTTCGGTGCGTTTTCGCTCCCTCTGTGCTTTGAAGAGGAGAAAACTTCTTAAGATAATCAGACAGCCCTGTCTCTTCCACAAAGCCACTGCAGCATGACTGATTACCCAGATCTCCCAGCTCCAGAACAAATTTTTAATGGTTTGTGTCCATTCTAGCTTAAAAAAACCTGAAAACTAGGAGTTTCCAAAACTGGAAAAAACTGTGGGCTCTCTACAAGTTTTTGCTACAATGGGACATGAAAGCAACAGGTTTTCAGTGAAAATATATAAAAAGTAACCAAATGAGTTATAGGAAAACTCTTCAGTCAAAACAATAAGCCTTGGTGTTAAACTATGGGAGTTTATTCAGAGGAGGTGGCTGGGTTTTATACTGACTCCACTCTTCTGTAGAGTAATAAGATATTTATATTCCTTATGGCCTAGAATCTGATCTGGAAATGTATCTCTTTTCTGTTCTCCTTCCCTTATGTTAAAGGAAAATCATAGAATTATGGAATTGTCCAGGTTGGAAGGGACCTTTAAGATAATCTAGTCCAACCATCAACCTAACTCTGATAAAAAACCATCATCAACCATGTCCCTCAGCACCACATCTGCCTGGCTTTGAAATACCTCCAGGGATGGAAAGCCCTGCTAAGTCTACAGATTTAATTCCACCCCTCCATTCTCTGTCTGAGAACAAGCAAGAGCAGGTTTTCTAACTTTTTTTTTCAATTCTGATGGTTTTAAACTCTTCCACGGGTTAAACCATTCCACCAGAGTGTCTGGAAGGAGTGTTTTCTGAGAGTAAGATGCTACAAGTCACACCACAACACAAAAAGCACAAGGTAGCGTTAGTCATTCAGTATTTTGCCCGGTGTTTTTCTACTTGTGCTGCAATATCCAAATGCTACGAGTTTGCTACTAACCAATATCACAAAATAATACCTTTTGTATCCTTAGTTTCTTCTTCCAGGTACCTGTGGTAGAGATTTCTGACGGCTCCATTCATAGATTTCAAAGGTTGATGCAGGATCTTGTATTTGCCCACCACGGCCTTGTTGATTTCTTGAACGACCGCGTTAATCTGCTCATACGTTAAACGACCTTTCATATACCTGCAGATAAAAATAAAAACCAGTGAGCAGAAAGTCACAAACCAAGTTCCCTGTTTATTTTCCTCTTTCATCGCCCTGAATCGAACACGCAATTCCCAGTTCGAGGCAGTTTCTCCTGCTTTGTGTTAATGAATAAACGCAGGAGTTGATTTTGCTCGTTTCCTTGACTGTTTAATAACGTTGAGACGGCAGAAAGATGAAACAGTAGAAAGCTAAATTAAGAAGTAAAAAATTATCCAGTGCTTAAGCTGGAAGGAGCTCTTCAAAATTGAATAAAGGTTGCTTTTAGAGCGTACCACTTAAACTACAAACACTAAAAATCAAGCAACTTTGCAGAAAACCTAAGCCAAAATCGAACTTACATGTTTCTGCCTCAGAGTGCAATTTATATTTATATTAAAATCCTAAATAACCTGTGTTTGATCTTACAGACATTCTCTTGGATTGTTTTTTTATTTTTTTGAAGAAATACCAGTTTTGTGCTGTTTTCTCTATTTTATTGAGCTATACAGACACAGTTTTGCACGCCCAACATCCCCTTCTGAACTTTCCGAACGTTTCATAAAACCTCCACTAAAATAATCAAATCTGTTGAGAACAGCCCGGAGGTACAGGAAGCTCAGAAGATAAAAAAACAAAGAGATGTGGAAATATTAGAACACTGGAATATTTGCAAATAAGGCAATTCAGCATTTACAGACGCAAAGGCACGCATTCAAGGAAAAAGGAAACACGTTACAAACTGAGAAACCATTGTATAAAAATGAAATTTGAAACTCATGAAGCTCAACACAAAACAAAACCCCAAAAAACATGGCAGTAAAAGCCAGGGCAACCTTGTGATTTGAGTTACCCCATGATGACCATTCAGTCTCTCCACCAAACCCAACCTTGGCTGTTTGAGTTGGGTTCAGTATCAGTTTGGAGATGTTGGGAAGTGAGAAAAACTGAGGAACCATTGTATAAAAATGAAATTTGAAACTCATGAAGCTCAACACAAAACAAAACCCCAAAAAACATGGCAGTAAAAGCCAGGGCAACCTTGTGATTTGAGTTACCCCATGATGACCATTCAGTCTCTCCACCAAACCCAACCTTGGCTGTTTGAGTTGGGTTCAGTATCAGTTTGGAGATGTTGGGAAGTGAGAAAAGTGTTTTAATTCTTTTTATGAATGAATGGGGTTCTTTAGGTCGGGACCTTCAGGCAGCTAAAAGCTGTAGGACAACAAGATCAAGGAACAGGAAATCCTTCCCTTGTTTTAATCTGAATGAAAAACCTCCATTTTAGGAAAACATGCAAAGGATTGAAAGCACAAGCAGCTGATCAATTACAAATTCAATATTCCAAGCCAGAACACTGCCAACTGAAAAAAAAAAAGGCCTCGCTGTAGAATTTAATAATGGCCAGTCCCTGCCAGGGAGACAGGTCTGCAAAAACTCCTGAAATCAAAGCAAATTGTTCTTATTTCAGAGTGAATTGCTACTAAGTTATTTGTAGCCGGTTTTCAACTTCATTGATAACTTTGATTAATCCAGATTCAAAGCTGGAGGGTGCAGCCGTTTTTATAAAAACTCTCTACTTGGCACAAATCACAGCTTTTCAAATAAAAGCAGGTCCATCACCCCTAAAATGCAGCCACGCTGGGCTTATATAGCCCTTACAAAGGGCTTAGCCTATATAAAGCAACTATTTATTGCTCTATCTGCATCCCTTTGCCTGTTTATAGTCACGGGGGAACGTGCAGAGCTATGAAGGTTAAGGCCCAGAGGTATAAAATAGCTATATTTAAGTTCCAGTGCTCCCAGTATCAATAGAGATACATTCAATAAAGCCACCTCAGCAGTGGGGACACCTTTGTCACAGACACCTGAATGCAGGAGCCTTAAACCAAAACCACGTCAGCTCAAAAGCAAGTGGAATTTTTTTTTCTGTGCCTCCCTTTAAGGATCATAAAAACTCCAGCTGTTCCACAGTCTTCTCGTGTTTCTATCCAGCCATGGCCAGCAAACCCATAAATACTGACATTTCTTTCAGTCCATACAGACACTAATATAAAAATACAAAGTCAAGGAGTTCCAAATTCATCCGTTTCATTTAGATTTAAAATAACTTTAAGATCTGCTTCACTACAAGAGTTCCAAATTCATCGCTTAATTTAGAATTAAAATAACTTTAAGATCTGCTTCACTACACCAACAGGAAAAACATTCAGAACTCTTTTTAAAAATAATAATAAAATAAAAAGTGACCCAATTTCTTTTTTTAATCCACAGAAGTCCTTTTCCAAACTTTTTTTTTTTTCCATAGGTATGAAAAGCAAAGCACAGTGCTATGGTCTTCAAAGAAAATAACAACATCAATGTATCACATATGTACTACTGGAAAAAGAGATAAATCCTTAATGGGCCAAACCTCCTCTCTCAAAAACGCTTAAGCTAAAAGAAATATATATTCTCAAAGTTACCATTTTCTTGAGATTTTCGAGTTATAACGAATGTGCAGATTCTAAAAATACCTCAAGCGGTAAGAATTTGAGAGCCAGAATAAAGCAAGAGCTTCCCTCTGCCTTGAATTCAAAGTAAACCGAGACATCTCCTGGGCCATTTCCTTTTTCTTCCTCCCAAAAGTTTTTTCTCCACTGCATTTGAAAGCTCAGATAATTTGCAAGGTTCTCACTGTGTCAGAATATTCTATTTGATCAAGGTGCTCCGTAGCCCTCGGTTAAATACCTGCTGTAAAGTCTAAAAATCTCTAAAAAATCAGAAGTCGCTGAGGAATGAGTATCCCTTTTAGTGCCCTAATGATGCAAAAGTGGGTGAAAACCACCCAAGATTTTTTTTTTTTCCAGTTTAAAATCTACCAGGGCTGTGGTAGGGAGAGAGGAAGGAGACTCCTGGCAGATGGGAAGCCCAGGGTAAGCCAGCTGGTTTGGGAATTGCACACATATGGGATGCATACGCACAATTGTGCTTTATTAAAGCGTAGCCACGGGCCCAGAGCTCCATCAAAACACACCAGCATCCCTCAATATCATCACCAGAAGGTATAAAAACATCCCACATCAGAACCTGAAAACTGGGATATTATCCTCATTCTCATTCTTCTCAGACAAAATCTTATTTGCGAGCAAATTTGGGTCACAAACGTTTGCTGCTTAGGTTTTTATTAAATAATAAAACTGCAATATAGCTGACTCTTGTATTACAACACTGCCAGGCAACAGGGAAACACACTTATCTAATAGATCTATTTAAATTCATGTAAATCTCCCTCCAAAGAACAAACAAGCTTTTTTTCCTTGTCTGAATAATTTTTCCATCTGTCCCCATTCTCCCCCCACCTGCAAACACCAGTGGAAAACCTTCTGCTTTCAAGGATAACACTTCCAGAGGTTATCAGGGAAGAGCATTTTAACTGGAGGTTAAAATAATTTGGCTGGAACAGTGTCTACTTCTCTTTTCTTAACAAAGAGAAAAAATTCCCATTTTTGTTCCAGCAAAAAAATAAAAAGCTCCAGCTTTTACCTTTCATCAGGGTAAACTTAAGGGAGAAAATCCACAAAACAGAGATGATCTGCAGAATGAAGATACCATGTAAAGGCACTTTTAAGAAATAACCAAAAAGAGTTCTTTATTATTTGCTCAACATTCAGGCTCCTTCATTTTTTAGCTTGAGCAATTTGGTGGAAAAAATCTGGACAACGCTCACCTGAAAATGTTGAAAGCTCTAGGAAAGATGATTTGAAAACCTCAAGTAAAACTCAAAAAACCCCAAATTCTTATTGAAACAAGTGTTGTCAGGAAACACACTGAGTCTAGATAACAATTTAGACTCAGACTTCAACGTCATTTTCTTGGTTTTGCAGAAATATTTGCCATTTCAGAAAAGTTATTCCTACACGACAGACTTCAGAGAAGGATATCCATTAATCAGGTCCTGATGGGAGGGAGGAAAAAAACCCACAGCTTTCTATTCTAGAAAATTTGGGAGATTTCAGTGGGAGGTGTTGTTGCATTTAACAAGTCTGATTTCTTTTCCCCATCTCAAAACCAGATTGATAAGTCAAGACTTGAAGTTTTTAGAAACCAACAGTTGGGTCAAATAAAACCAGCATTTAAAATTATTTTTATTTTAAAGTGCAATCATACCTTTCATCTGAGATTATGGCTCTTTTTTCTTTTTTCATATGTCAGTTCTCAAAACAAGAAGAGAACATATCTATTAACTAATATATTTCTGTTCATAAATTAAAGTGATTTTCGAGATAAGAGGTTTGGGTTTTAACTGATTAGTTCTGATCTTCCCGATACATACATAAAAAAAGAACCTAATTAGCTCTATTAATTTCATTTTCAGGTTTCCTGGTATTGCATATAAACTATTTGGCTAAGAAAAGCTGTGTTTACTTACGCAGGAACACTCTCAAATTCTTCAGCAGTGATTAAGGGGGCTTCTTTAATAATTCTTGCCTCCTTTGTAGGTTTCTTCGCACATTGGGGTTCGACAACTTTGGTTTGTTCTTCCCGTTTCACAGTTGGCCCAGTGATGCTGTAAAATGAATGAATATTAAGTGTATAAATAGAAGATAAGCAGAGGAAGGAGAACACCCTTATATTCTCAAGTCTGCTGACTCACAGACCTAAGATCCAACCCATCTGGATGAACACAATCCACCCTCTCGCCTGGAAGAAAGAAAAAGAAATCAAGAAAAATAAAGAAAGAAAAATAAAGAAAGCAAGCCCGTTTCAAACCGCATACTTTCTCCGACTTCATCAGAGCTCTTCATCTCTCAGGTGAACTGGAAGGGGTCCAAAAGGCAGCCCAGAGCAGTTAAGGATTCAATGTACCGTTACGTTTCGCAGAACACGAGGGCCTGGCTTTTTTATCAGATGAACCGGAGCCCAGAGCTGCAGCCTAATGGCCAGATTTAAAAGGCTTCGCAGCTCTTTGAAACAAGTTCAAATCTTGGGAAGCCTGACTCATCCATTAATCTTTTCCAAGCAAAGAAATTCAACACCATCCAGCAGGCTGGGATTTTTTAATTTTTAAATATTTTTTTTTTTTTTAGGCAAGATCCCAAAAGCTGAGGGATTTCCTGCTTTGAGCGATTATCGCAGCATTATTTTTATAAATTAATGCTTCCTTCAAACCCTTAAGCTTAAAGCCTCAAACGCTGAGTTACTTGCCAGCCAGCCACCTAACTGTAGGAGGACAGCAAAGAGGATGGCCAAATTCACTGTCACCTGAATACAAGGACATTATTGGGATGCAGAAGGGAAATAACTGAAGCCATACAGAGCTGACCCTCACAACAAACTGATCCTCTGCTTTGATCAAACCCTTCCACAAGAAGAGATCTTTGCTTGAGGTGGGGCCCTACGGTCAGCGAAGGGCACAGCAGTTCCACTGAATTTCACTGAATTTTAGAGTTGGAAGGGACCATAGAGATCATCTAGTCCAACTCCCCTGCTGAAGCAGGATTGCCTAGAGCTAGAGCATGTTACTCAGGAGCATCCAGGCGGGTCTTGAAAATCTCCAAAGAAGGGGACTCCACACCCTCCCTGGGCAGCCTGTTCCAGGGCTCCATCACCCTCACTGTGAAGAAGTTTCTCCTCATATTTGAGCGGAACCTCTTCTGTTCCAACTTGTGCCCGTTGCCCCTCGTCCTCTCACTGGGAACCACTGGAAAGAGCCTGGCTCCCTCCTCCTTCAACCCTCCCTTGAGATACTTGTAGGCATTAATAAGGTCTCCCCTCAGCCTTCTCTTCTCCAGACTAAAGAGTCCCAGCTCTCTCAGTCTCTCCTCATAAGGGAGATGCTCCAATCCTTGAATCATCTTTGTTGCCCTTCGCTGGACTCTTTCCAGTAGTTCCCTGTCCCTCTTGAACTGGGGAGCCCAGAACTGGACACAGTACTCCAGTTGTGGCCTCACCAGTGCAGAGTAGAGGGGGAGAATGACTTCCCTTGACCTGCTGGCCACACTCTTCCCTATGCAGCCCAAGATACCATTGGCCTTCCTGGCCGCAAGAGCACACTGTTTACTCATTGTCATTTTACTGTCCACCAGGACCCCTAGATCTTTCTCTTCAGTAGTTGCCTCTAGTGGGTCCACCCCTAACCTGTCCTGGTACCTGACATTTTTCTTCCCCAGGTGCAGGATCCTACACTTTTCCCTGTTGAACCTCATGAGGTTCTTCCTTGCCCAGTTCTCCAGCCTGTCCAAGTCTCGCTGGATGGCAGCACGGCCCTCTGGGGTGTCAGCCACCCCTCCCAGTTTGGTATCATCAGCAAACTTGCTGAGTTGACCCCAAGGCTGGGATTTGATGTGTCACCTGATGTGACACCCCTGAACCCAGTGTCTCACTAGGATTGCAGTCCAGAGGACAACCAGTGCCACCTGCTGGGCTCCCAAGCTGTCCTCAAAACCTGAATAACAGCTATTATTTCACATATTTCTGTCTCATTCTCTTTTGTGAGCTACTTTATTCTGAACAGCTTCTCGGTGCAGCCCTCTCAAAGGCAGGTGGATGTCACTGCTAGTTAAAATAAATGCCAGGCTGCTGCAGGAAAAAGAAGAATGAAAATACCACCACCATAATTCAAAACCCCACAGAGAGATGATTGGGTTAAAGGATTTTCATTTTTTTAAATTCTATTTTGAAGGGCAGCATTGAACTTCAGTTTTAGCATCCCAGCATTTGGATCAGTAACCCACCCTCCAATCCTTAGGAGCTGCAACTCTCAGATCGGTGTGTTTGCAATTCTAAAGCAAGGAATGCTCAGATTTATCAAAAAAAAAGTAGATTTTTACTATAATGTCACACCCACCACTGGAAGCTGCCATCTGAACAACTTGGTATTTTATAGGTTTTACCCAAGGGATTGGTTAAGGTGCTAGCACAAGCCTGGTAGTGAACAGTAAAGAGTCAACTCCAAGAATCGATACATTTAACAACCTTGGCACCCAAAATTTCAGTAATATACAATAAAAAGAGTGGAACTGTAGAGTGCCAGGAGCAGACCCACACCTCCATACTCATGTACCACCTACCAGCTCTGAGTTGGTTTAGGCAGATGGGGAGGAATGTTTTCACGGAGGTGCTGTGCTTCGTTTTGGTCTCTCTCCACAGACTTCTGGAGCTCCTGAAATTAACGGTAGAACTTCATCAGAAACCTGAAACTTAATGCCAAGCAAGTAAAATCAGTTTGCTGTTAGGGTGTTGTTTGCTCTCTCCCCATCATCTTACCTCTTCGCCCTCTAATTTCCCCAAGAGCAATTAGCAAAGCTCAGAAAAACAAAGCTAAGAGTGAGAAAACGTAACCTTGTCCGTCTTTGTCCTCAAAGCGTCAAAGAAATTTGAGCGGGCAAGAAATAAATCTGTAACATCATCACCAAGCAGGTTCTGGGTGGTGGTGATATCAAAGAAATTTGAGTGGGCAAGAAATAAATCTGTAAACAACATCACCAAGCAGGTTCTGGGTGGTGGTGATGAAGAGATACTACAGGAAACTCATCTACATTCCCCAAACAACACTTTCACAACAGACTTGGCACATAAAAGCACCGTTAACACACACTAAACCAACGGATAAATATTCCAATTCAATCGGTATCATAGCTCTTGCAAGGATGTAAAAATAGAACTGCTCTTTAGCTCGCAGTATCTATTATGATAAAGACATGCTGTGAACGTATAAACCTTGAAAAATAGATTTTTTTAGTGTCCACTAGGCTGGAGAGCTGCTTAATAAACCACCAGAAACCCTGTTCCCAGTCCCAGTTTCACTTTGAGCACGTGCATCCAAACATATCGCTTAGGATCTAAAAAAGAACTGCTATGCAGTTATCAAAGATTCCTTTGAATCTTTCAGTATTTTATGAACAGGGGGAAAAAAAAAAAAGCCAAAAAAGATTACTTTTAGCAAATTGTTCAGTTTTTCATGCTGTTGAACTTCCGCTTCCATTTTATTCAGGAGGTCATGCAAGAGAACTACGTCCTGTCCTATTTTAGAGAGCATCGAACTGAGGGATGGTTCTTGACCTGCCAAAGAGAGAATGTTAAGCCAAAAAGCCAAAACACCATCAACACAAAACAAAAATCCCATTTCCCTCCCCCTCCACAAGCAGTTTTTATCTGTTAAACCCAGATGACCCTCCCAACCAACACTTCTATCATCCTGTGTAATCTGTTTGTGCCTAGTAGAAGACATGAACCTAAATTCATGCTGCTGCAATTTTGCCATCCCTGCTCCCTTTTATTTGTTGTTATTCTCTTTATTTTACTTGATTTCCACTTCATGTTACATTCCTTGTCTAATTAAAACATTCCCATTTTCCACAAGGAGGTGCAACCTGAAATTTCTTTTACCTATGTTTCTTAATTGAAGAGTCTTCTTAATAGTTGAAATCTTCAAGTTGATGTGAAAGCTTAAATCTTCCAGGGCTGAGGACGCCATCTTCCTCTGTTATTCCAATGAGGGGAAATAAAAAAGAATGTGGTAATTTAAGAAAGATCTAAGTTGTCAACATGAAGCACACAAGCAAAAATATAAAAAAGGACCCAGTGCTCCAGATGAAGCAGTAAATGTAGTAACTACTTTTCATTTTACTAATTGGAAACAGAAAGGGAAGCACAAAGTGACTGACACTAGACAAGACCAAGCAATTTCCCTGAACTCTGGAAATAAGTGCAGTGTAATACCAGTGAAATGATTCCCCTATGAAACCAGGTAAGAATTATATTAAGGTTTTTGCTCCTAAAGGAGGTGGAAACTTACTGCAATGAAACAAGAAACAGCTTAAGACATGAACCTAAATTCACGCTGCTCCCATTTTGCCATCCCTGCTCCCTTTTATTTGTTCATGAACCTAAATTCATGCTGCTGCAATTTTGCCATCCCTGCTCCCTTTTATTTGTTATTCTCTTTATTTTACTTTATTTCCACTCCATGTTACATTCCTTGTCTAATTAAAACATTCCCATTTTCCACAAGGAGGTGCAACCTGAAATTTCTTTTACCTATGTTTCTTAATTGAAGAGTCTTCTTAATAGTTGAAATCTTCAAGTTGATGTGAAAGCTTAAATCTTCCAGGGCTGAGGACGCCATCTTCCTCTGTTATTCCAATGAGGGGAAATAAAAAAGAATGTGGTAATTTAAGAAAGATCTAAGTTGTCAACATGAAGCACACAAGCAAAAATATAAAAAAGGACCCAGTGCTCCAGATGAAGCAGTAAATGTAGTAACTACTTTTCATTTTACTAATTGGAAACAGAAAGGGAAGCACAAAGTGACTGACACTAGACAAGACCAAGCAATTTCCCTGAACTCTGGAAATAAGTGCAGTGTAATACCAGTGAAATGATTCCCCTATGAAACCAGGTAAGAATTATATTAAGGTTTTTGCTCCTAAAGGAGGTGGAAACTTACTGCAATGAAACAAGAAACAGCTGGTTTATATAAAGCAGTGCTATAAGGCGCTCTCAGGGAGATTGAATTGGATGATCAATGATTAAGGAGGTGGGTTCGGTGCTTTTTTAAAGTGTAATTAAAAAAAAAGAAAACACATACTTGCTAGCAGACTATGGAGGCACAAAAAATAGCATTATATACCGGCTACTCTTAATCAAGCATACTCATTAGCTCTATTATAGGAAAAAATTGATAAAAAGCGTTGCTAAATTGCATCTCCCCCACCCGCTGTGTAACAAACCTCCCTTTAACGCGATCACCCGGCCGCCCTTGGGCCTGCAGCGCCCACACCGCTCCCTCCCGCCTGAAAACGAAGCTTTTATTTCGCTTCCCGTTTAAAAACACGCTGGTTAAATCCGCCATTAAGCGGCCGTGCCGGCTTTTACACCTGAGTGGAAACCGTTACAACCCCAGGCTCCCCCCCCCCCAGCCCTCCATTTTACCTCACGTCCTGCCCCAACGCCCGCCTTTTCCTCTCTCTCTCGACCGCCCCGCTCTCACCGCTGTTACGGAGGCCGCGGACCGGCTCCTCTCGGGGCCGTGAGGAGGAGCAAGGGGTCCCCGGAGAAGGAGGAGGAGAAGGGGGATCCCCGGGGAAGATGCCGGCCGTTCAAACCCGCCGCCCTTTGGCCCGCGCATGCGCGGGAGGCGGCGCGGAGGCGGCGGGCGGAGAAGGCGGGAAGCGCTGAGGGGACGGGGCCCGGCCCCCTCAGGAACCAGGCTTCCCCTGAGAAGGGAAAAAAAACCCCACCAAACCAAAACAACCTCACAGCTTTCGTTAATTGGTTACATAAATTAAGTTTATTGCGGCGCTCGACAGAAGACAAAGCCCTCGGTTAAAAGTAAGTCGCTTTTCAACATACACGTAGTCACGCTGGTCTGTCTCCTATAGAACATCATCGCCCGTTGCTTGCTTTTCTCTGGGGGCAAAAGGAAAAAAAACCACAAAACACCGAAAAATAACCCTAAACTCCTTTTTTTTTTTTTCTAATTAGCTACAGATCTAAAGGTCTATTGCTAAGGATGGGACTGCTTATCTCTCTCCAAATTAAAAATAAGCAAAAACTCCGTTGCTTTACCCCAATTCCCTAACCGAGAATAGCTCACGGTTCCCTCCCCACCTCTAAAAACAACCAAAAAAACCAAACCAAAACCCTTAAAGAACTGAAAAACAGATTAACATAGAAATGCATTAAAGAAGGAGCATTTCTAAAGCAATTTAAAAGCAATTTAAGAAGGGCCTGCATTCAGCAGACCATTAAGGAGAAAGGAAAATGAGCAAAGGAGGAGTCATGTGATGCCACCAGACAACGTGGTTGGTTTTATCCATGGGTGGTTTTATCATTTCTTAGGGGTGACAAGAGCCTCAAGTGGGGCAGGGAGGGTGGCAGGAACCCCTCCATCGTCCCCATCTACACAACCCCACCGAGCCAAGGCTTCCTGCCCCGCCATCTTCCCACCTGCCTTTGTCCCAGTAACTCCTGAGAACCCCACATCAAACAGACATAGTCTTGTCTTTTAGACAAACCATAAAAGCATCAGTAAAAGGAGAGGAAAAAAAAACCTGCCAAAAGCGCTGCTTCATAAGCAATTTTTAATGTCAAATAACAATAATTAAAAAAAAAAAAAGGACAAAAAACCCAAGCCAAAGAGAGCCATCCTGAGCGCAAAAGCTCAAAACACACGTCCCCTCCTAACCTGGGATTGTTCACATCCGCTAGCTGCTTCAAAAAACAACCCAAATGTCCGTTCTAGACCTTAAACACGAGGTTGTCTTGCAGTAACAACCTCTGAATTACAACGTAAGACCATAAGGAGGAGAAAAAATCCCATAGAAACACCATCAGATATAAAGATAACGTACTCTAACTCCCCATGCTTACAAAGACTATTTGAACCTGGCACTCAAATGTTCCTTTTTGCTGTTTAACCACAATGTGGGAATCATCTGATGTTTGTGCAGACAGCTGAAACCCCTCCTGCGGTCTCAATCGGTGCACTGATTAAAAATAACGTTTCTCTTGCATGTTTTAAGGGTAGAGGAAAGAACTCCAGAAGAAAGATTCTTTCTGGAGCACCACCTGGTGGTATCTGAAGTCACAAACCCAAATCTACAATAACCTCACAGAAAGCTGTGGTAGGGCACTGAATATTGACATTTCCATTTCACGTCACCCGCAAGAAACTTTTCCCAAGTCAATACACAAGGTTCTTTTTGTTTCATGTACATAAAACAAAGTATTTAGCAAGAAGGCCATAAACTGTCCGTTAGCATTCATCTTTACGGGTCTATTTTATCATCAGGAAGCCAAAGAGAAGTGATCTTTGCGTTTTATTAAGCGAACACCCCTGAGTAAAGAGGCTGATATCCGCTGTCTTCTCTCTTGCAAGTAAGCACACAGACACTGAGCATGCCGAAAAACTGAAAAAGAAAGAGAACAAGAGAATTAGTTCTGCTGTATTTTGTTGTTTCAGTCATCGGGCTCAACACCTATATGTTAATTAGGCTTCTTCATCACAGCAAGGACATTGATTTCATATTAAAAAGCACTTAGAAAATACATCCATAGAACATGATTTTTTTTTTTTTTTGGCATATCAATTTCCAAGAATAGTTCCAGCTCAGCTTTTTTCCTCCCTGGTTTCTCCCATTCATTTACACATCCACATTAATTCCTAGTTCTCTTCCTGTGGGAAAAAATTTCAGTGGAAGCATGGGATTACTCTGGACTTAAAATGAGCTCTGTAAAATATTTAAGTATGTAAAGCGTGCAAATAAGGACAGTGCAGAATATGCTGAGGTCCTCTTTAGAGATGATCAGAGGAGAGATTGCAGTGGGAGGGTTCATCACAAATAGTAGTAATGGGAGTGTAGAACTTAGCACTTTTATAGAGGGAAAGGACATGATGGAAACGCCGTCACTGAGCAATTTAAGCCCATGAGATCAAAAGCTGGGGCCAAAATTAAGAAAAGGCAAATTTAAGTAAGTCAAAACTAAGCCAAGGACCAGATCTGAGATGATATTTGGACAGACTTTGGCTCCTGCGTTGAGTTCAGGAGTGGGGTATTAAAGCACAAGTGTTCGGCGACGGCTCAGCTTACAGCCCCTCGTTTTAGAGAGCAGATTGTCAAAGAAAAACCACTTTGCTGTTATTAAATGGTTCAAATCTCTGCCCGCAAGGAACAGGTTACTAATCTTGGAGAACAGGTACAGGGGACAATGGCAAACCACCAGGCTAAAATCTATGGGTCAAATCTTCACGTCGTTGCCTGGGCATTTCTTCGACGTGCCAACTGCGAGGAGTTTTACTTCAGGGCTTTTCAAATCTAGCTTTCACCCACGAGATGATCTGGTTTCACATTTTGTTTCATTCCACCTTATAAGTCTATAAATAGCCCTTCTGGTTTCATTCCTCCTCATGCTTCTAGTCCATTTTGATTCCAGGTCTCTAAGCACAGGACTATTCATTCAGATTACATCTAAAAACAAATTTTGATGAGCTACTTTTTAAAGTTCCAGTTAAATACAAAAAAGCTGGTTGTTTTAATAAAGAATTCTAGATCTAGGGCTTTTTAATCACATCCAGCTTTTTGTATTTCCTACCAAATGACAAGATGGATTCTCTGTTGACTTGCCGTCCCAAATCCCCTGCTGGAATTTTGGATCCCTTCTTTTATCATCATACAGACGAAATGCAGAAATTTGAAAGAAAAAAGTGAGGAACAGAGGACTGGGTCCACTTCAGAGCCAGCAAAAGGCTGTAGGACATGGCAGAAGAAAAAGCCCTGGGATCAAAGGGCAAACGGCATTATTTTCCGTGAGGGAAGAGATAGAAATATTTACCTTTACAATGGCAAAGCCCAGGATTACGAGCATGGCGTAGCTGATAACGCTCTGCAGCCCAGCCTCCAGTTCCCCTGCACAGCCCTGCCATGAAAGAGATGGGTGAAAACAAGTCAAAAGACGTTAAATTCAGCTGGATTTTTTTAATTATTATTATTATTTTTCTCCCCAGCCCTTCAAAGGAAGCAAGACCTCCTAAGGCCTGTCTAACCAGCAACTGCAGACCCAGGGCCTTCCATTCTTGTCTTCTGGACCCGATGGCTTGTTGTTCTCCTCTTGCTTAAGGAGAGGCATCACCAAACTGCAGTTCACTGCCATTTGCTGCTTCTCAGTCTCCTCTAGCTCAGGTCACTTGTGCAAAAACTCAGAGCCAGGGAGACCAGCAATGGTATCTCTAGAAGTCAACTTATGGGCTTGAGCCTGGACTGAAGGACATGGTATGTAATTTTCCAGATTCATCACAGAATCACAGAATCTTCTAGGTTGGAAGGGACCTTAAAGATCATCTTGTCCAACCGTCAACCTGACTGACAAAAATAGACACCCCCACAACAAACAAGGAGCATCATCACTAAACCAGACCTCCCAGCACTTCATCAACCCGTCTTTTGAACACCTCCAGGGATGGGGCCTCAACCACCTCCCTGGGCAGCCCATTCCAATGCCTGATAACCCTTTCAGTGAAAAAATTTTTCCTAATATCCATATTCATGGTCAATTTGAGAAGAGTCTCTTCCCCTACCCCAGATCTGTTTGATGGGAACTACGTGCTCTGGCCTTGTCACCTCGCTTCTGTAGCAACGTGAAATGGAGGAGTTACCAGCAGACAGACAAGACCAAACATCCAGACTGGTGTCCCTCCATCATCTAAGAGTTTTTATAGAATTATATGAGGAGGAAGTTAGCTAGAGGAAAACCACGGGGAGAAAAAGGCTCGGGGGGACAAACTGCTGAGAAGAATTGGGTGAAGTTATCCCTTCTTCATTCTGGCTGGCTGGGAATGTTCACTCACAGCCCAGATGTGGAACCGTGTCCTTCATCCTCACCCGTGTGTAGAGATCCTGTGGCTGATCCAGGCTCCCCGTGCAGTTCTTCACATCTTGCCTGCAGCAGCTCAGAGGGACGCTGTTGTTCCTGGTGGAATTAAACCACGCCGTGGTCGTCCAGTCGCTGTAGTTCTTTACCCCGCAACAATGAAGCTGCCAAACAACAGGACAGTCAGAGAGCCTTCTCTCATCTTTCTGCCACGTGGTACAGGATTCTCAGCAGCACTTAGTCGTGTGTACTCATTTGGTCTGATCCAAAATCCCCTCCCATCAACAAGTTTATTAATTTACAGGAACTTCACACCAGAAGCCTGAAAAGGCCAGCTCAGCTGCCTTGGAGAATCATCAAATGAGTTTGGGTTGGAAGGGACCTTTAAAGTTCATCTAGTCCAACCTTCTGCCACAGGCAGGGACGTCTTCTACTAGATCAGGTTGCTCAGACCCTCGTTCAACCTGATCTTGAATGTTTCCAGGGATGGGGCATCCACCACCCCTCTGGGCAACCTGCAGAATCGGATGCTAAACACCACACTGACCCTCTTCCCCTCCCTTCCCAGCCCAAATTCCACGTTTAGGACCCAATTCTTCTTTTCTAAATAATTCTCAGCGCAATTTAAATGTTTTCTTACCTGTTCCTGCAAGTAATTCACAACATCAGACTCTGAATTTTCCCCGTTGTACTTCTCAAAGACTGAGCGCATTGTGCCTTGTACGTCAGTTTTCACCTATTTAGAGAGAGGAAAAAAAACCAAAACCATAGTGTTTTAAGACGAGAGCTAAGAACTTTATCTAAGGAAAACTGCAAAAGATCTGTATCTAAGGGGAAAAAACTAAGGGGAAAAGGGGAAACTAAGGGGGAAAAAGTAATAAATAAAAATGAAGCGATGTTTTAGATAAAATGCAAGTAGCACTTAACCAGAATTACATTCCTGGATAGAAGCTTGCTTCTCCCTCCTTTATGAGCATCAGCAACTGTTAATTCCAAATTAAGAGTCTGTTGTGATGCCTGCCAGGTACTTTATGTATTCACCACATTCCCAACAAAGACTGATCCACATTCCGGATGGTGACATTCCCCATTCCCACTTGCCCTGCAGACTGCAGGATAAAGGATGAAGTGCTAGAAAACCTGATATACCAGAATGTTCTAACAATGCAAGATCTATTCTTTATTTTCAGGCTAGCACAGAGATGCTAATTCTTTGCTTACCTTTTCCCTGTAAACAAATCCCAGGACGAAAGCGGATACCTCTAACAAGATCTATTCTTTATTTTCAGGCTAGCACAGAGATGCTAATTCTTTGCTTACCTTTTCCCTGTAAACAAATCCCAGGACGAAAGCGGATACTTCTGCAATAAAGATAACCAGGATAATGGCCAAGAACTGAAATGAAGAGAGAGAGAAAGACTTTAAAGAAGAATTCCACAACATTTGGATTCAATTGCACATTACCCATCCCATTGATTTATCATGGTAAGTTAACCTTATCTGTTTTTGCCTCTCCAATCAAAATAGTTTCCAGAAAATAATTTAGAATAGGAGATTACTATGTGTGGCTGGGACTACGTGGCCCCACAGGATCTGTGCCCAGTGTAGGCAGCCTCCATGATGTCATCAGTGTGAAAAGAGCCTAGGAAACACTTCACAAGGTGGCCATCAAACAGGAGACTGCATGGATATTGTGGTAGGTACGTTGGGCGCTGCTTATTGAGCTCACATCGCCTTCAAAACATCAGCTGGGGGCCCAGGTTACTCAGCTTGAATCTTTTTAGCCTTTTAAAAATAATTCCAGAAGTCGAGGCATACTTTAGGATTCAAAGAACTAAAGTCAGCAGAAAAATACTGTTTGGGTTTTGGTTTGTTTTTTCTTGTTTTGGAAATTCACATCTCCTCCTGTTCCCTCACCCTCACACTTCATCTCAGAACTTGCTACTCTCCATGCTTATCTCCAGCAAGGTAGCTGAGGTAGAGCCATCAAACTGTCCACAGCTGTGGGTATTTGTCTGTACAAGGCCGTGCAACAAATAATTTAGCTTCCCAGAATCCCAGAATGCTATGAGGTTGGAAGGGACCTCTGGAGATCATCTAGTCCAACCCCCTCCCAAAGCAGGTCCACCCAGAGCAGGTTGCCCAGGAATGTGTCCAGGCAGGGACTGAATTTCCACCCAACTGGATGAAGAAGAGGACACCCAAACAACGTGCTCCACTCACCAGCCCTAGGCCAACTCGAGACTCCCCAAAGGTGGCACAGCAGCCGATCAACCCGATGATGAACATCACCGCAGCCACGCAAAGAATGATAACGGCCGGCAGCAGAGCATACTTGTCCTGCAGAAAGTTGTCGTAGCTCTTGTAGGTGTTGATGACGTATCCCCCAACATAGCTGAGACCTGCTGCTGCCGCCTGAAAGGCAATGAAGAAAGTGAGCATCTGCCCAGGGAAGTAACCGTGGATCTTTTTGTAATGGCCTAATTAAAATTTTAACTTCAGAAGTAACGAGTACAGTAGGCAAAGATCTAGAAAAAAACAAAAATAAAAGCATGGATCTGAAATCAGCTACTCATCCAAACTTTAACGAAGAGAAGAGAGAATTCACTTCCTGTGAATCACTCCTCGACTAACGAAGGACCACGTTAGCTGAGCTGGGACACGAGAGTCTATCATAGAATGGTTAAGAGTTGGAAGGGACCTTAAATATTATCGGTTGCCCCGAGAAGCTGTGGTTGCCCCATCCCTGGAGGGGTTCAAGGCCAGGTTGGAGGGGGCTTGGAGCAACCTGGTCTGGTGGGAGGTGTCCCTGTGCAAGGGAGGGGGTTGGAACTGGATGGTCTTTAAGGTCCCTTCCAACTCTAAGCATTCCATGATTCTTCGATCGTGTTCCAACCCCCCTACCTGGCATCAACCAACTCCAAAAACTCATCCTTTCCACGTTCACCGAAAACATGAACCACCAAGGCACAAATGTTCTCCATCTCAGCAAAACACAGTCCCTCCTTCTCCTGGAGGAAACAGAATTCCACGACCCCTAAAATAAATTCTCCTCCAAAAGGATGTTTTGCCCACTGAGGCCAACCTACAGCGCACCAGTGACGGCCGCCCAACTGGTAGCCCTGGAGACAGAAGGCTTTTATCCTCAGAACTGGGTACAGCCCTGGAAATAGCACCGACAGACTCAGCAATGCCCTGCTGGTGGCATAAACAAATGCTCTCTGGAGTTACAACAGCTCCATCCACCCTCTAGAATCCTCCAGCCCAAGACTACGCCCATAAAAACGAAGCGCCGTCCATACTCACGTTCTGGAAACTCGAGGGGAAAAAAAATTAATAAATAAATCAGCCTGTTTGTTTTCAATAGGCTACAGCTGGATTTCATCACGCTGCACACGAGCAGTTCATTATTTCCCCCAGTACTGTATGTTTTTAATTAAATCCAACACTCCTCACGCTGCAGCTCCTTTACGTTGTTTGCCTCCTTCCCCTCCAGCCAGATCTGGTGCCTGCCCTTCAATTACCTCCAAGTGCAGGGGACATCCTTCATTTCAGACAACTCTCATCCTACACAGCTCTTGCATTCCTGGATGCTGCCTGTACCTCAAAATTAAGGGATCTGATGCATCAAGTGACGAAACCAGGATCAAACTAAACCTTAGAGACCTTTAGCACATGTCACGCAAGGTCCTGCTGGGTTGGGGCTCAGAGACAGAAGGTCTTCTTAAAAGTGACACATGAAATGGAACACAATCACCAATTCTCAAGAGCTTTTTTCCTTCTCCACATACATTGGGTTTTCAGGTGGTGCTAATGATTAAAGGAGTTCCTACAACTAACTTTTCCTCTCCTTGAGGGAAATCTTTTTCCCATTTCCCTGTCTGCAGGCGTACAGCGACCAGGTCTTCTTCCTCCCACCCCATTTTAGGGATGGAGGGAAAGGATGAGACAACTGGAGCTCCAAGGGCACCGATGCCTCTCCACTTCACCACCGTGAGCGACTTCCCCTCTTCCTCCTCCGACGCTAAGATCTTGTACTGAAAGTGGGACAGGAAAAAGCCCCTGGAACATCAGTAACACTAAAGGTGAGGCTGGGGAGGCTGCACCTCCATCCTGCCTTGCTTTCCATTGCACAAAAAGAGCAAGGCCTATGACTCAAAAAGGACACCCCATATTTATGGCCTGGGGAGCTGGATGCACGTGCGACTGTCCACCTATTCTCTGTTCCAGAACAGCATCATATGGGCAAGGGTGGACACCGAGAAGGAAGTAAAAGCTCCTGGGCTAACTATCCATCATCATGGAGAAGACATGATGATGGGATTTGCCCACTATATCCTTTATTTCTAATATTTTCCAGGACTATCGAGCACCACGACTGGCCACGTTGGCCCCAAACCCCTGCACATGGATTTAAACTGAGAGCTCGCATCTGGGCATGGGCACTAACGAGGATGTTTTTGCAGAGGCCATCACAGAATCCCAGAATGATATAGGGGTTGGAAGGGACCTCTGGAGATCATCTCCTCCAACCCCCTGCCAAAGCAGGGCCACCCACAGCAGGTCCCACAGGAACGTGTCCAGGTGGGGTTGAATGTCTCCAGAGAAGGAGACTCCACCACCTCTCTGGGCAGCCTCTGCCAGGGCTCTGCCACCCTCAAAGTGAAGAAGTTCCTCCTCATGTTGAGATGGAACTTCTTATGGTCAAGTTTGTGCCCATTCCCTCTTGTCCTGTCCCTGGGCACCACTGAAAAAAGCCTGGCCCCATCCTCCTGACACCCACCCTTTAAATATTTATAGGCCTTGATCAGATCCCCCCTCAGTCTTCTCCAGAGTAAAGAGACCCAAGTCCCATCAGAATTTGAACCAGCTCAGCATCCAGGTTGGGATGTCCCATAGAGACCCAAGTCCCATCAGAATTTGGACCAGCTCAGCATCCAGGTTGGGATGTCCCACCACAGTTGTCATCAACCGCTGAGGGCCCACAGCCCCAGGAGAAAACCAGAAGGACCTTGAGACCCCTCAGAAAGGTTTGTGACGGGGGAAGGTGGTCCCTGGGGAAACGGAGCAGGGGTAACATCACCGCAGAGACTGAGCAGCACAAGCCATAGGGTTTTTTTTGGCAAGTAAATGAGTCACCAGCATTCGGCAGCAACGTCACCTCAAAGCATGCACAACCAAAGAGCCTTGTGACTTGGTTAATGTTGCAAAGTTCATGTGCAAAGTGCCAAGTTAATCATTTGTCACCTTCAGAGGACGTAAATTTAATGAGCACACAAGACTAAACAATTAGTGTGATAGATGCCTATTCCAGTGCCCCACGTGCAAGTCACTTGAGCCTCTTTACAGTCCTCCTCACCCATCTCCCGTTGCTTTCCAACAGTTTCCATCATCCTTCCGTAAGTGACGTAGACAACAGACACATCCCTCATTATCTCCTCTCTGCACCCCGTTTTCTACCTATTTTCAGCACGTTCAATGCTCAACACAAAGGAAACATGCACAGGAAATGGTAAAAACAGACCATCTTTGGGCAACAAAAAAAAAAACACCCATGTTGCTATTAAAGGGCCACCACAAATTCTAAACCACATCGTGAAGCCGATTCACAGAAGCCCTGTAAAGCCAAGGACTAGCAAAGCTCCTCGACAACAAGCCAACATCAGTGGTGTCTGGTGCTGAGTTTGAGGAGATTCTTGCCCAAACTTTAGGGCCACCACAAATTCTAAACCACATCGTGAAGCCGATTCACAGAAGCCCTGTAAAGCCAAGGACTAGCAAAGCTCCTCGACAACAAGCCAACATCAGTGGTGTCTGGTGCTGAGTTTGAGGAGATTCTTGCCCAAACTTTATCAAAACAATTACAGACTGGCACGATCACAGCAGGTTTTAGGGCAAAGGCAGCAAGTGGTCTGTTAGAATTTCTGAACTTCTGCTTCCAAGCAGAAAAAAAAGGAAGCGTAATAAGGTAAAAATAAAAGACTTTGGGTAAAGATCTAGCTTAAAGGAAGTTCACATTTTTCCCCACAAACCGAGGAACAGTCGTGGCTTCACCCCTGGTTTTTAATTCAAAGTGAAGACTTTGAAGGCTGAAGATCAGGCGCGCTCAGGGAGCAGAAGGCATTTCAGGTAACGATCTGTTCCCTGTTTTATTTCTGTATCGAATCCCAGAGGTAAACTTTGAAAGTGGAGAAGAAATGTATTTCTGCACATAAATCTCTGAGCTTTTACAGAATGATACAGGGTTGGAAGGAACTTCTGGAGATCATCTACACCAACCCCAGCCAAAGCAGGGCCACCCAGAGCAGGTTGCACAGGAACGTGTCCAGGTGGGGTTGGAATGTCTCCAGAGATGGAGACTCCACCACCTCTCTGGGCAGCCTCTGCCAGGGCTCTGCCACCCTCAGTGAAGAAGTTCCTCCTCATGTTGAGGTGGAACTTCTTATGTTCAAGTTTGTGCCCTTGTCCTGTCCCTGGGCACCACTGAAAAAAGCCTGGCCCCATCCTCCTGACTATTCTGGGCTCCCTGGTTCCAGAAGCAGAGGGAACTGCTGGAGAGGGGACAGCAAAGGGCTACAAAGATGATGAGGGGCCTGGAGCATCTCTCTACTGAGGAAAGGCTGAGGGACTTCTTGGGGCTTTTGAGTCCGGAGAAGAGAAGATGAGGGGGGATCTGATCAAGGCCTAGAAATACTTGAAGGGTGGGTGTCAGGATGATGGGGCCAGACTTTTTTCAGTGGTGCCCAGGGACAGGAGAAAAGGGAATGGGCACAAACTTGACCATAAGAAGTTCCACCTCAACACGAGGAGGAACTTCTTTCCTTTGAGGGTGTCAGAGCCCTGGCAGAGGCTGCCCAGAGAGGTGGTGGAGTCTCCTTCTCTGGAGACATTCCAACCCCACCTGGCTCCTGTGCAACCTGCTCTGGGTGGCCCTGATTTGGCAGGGGGTTGGAGGAGATGATCTCCAGAGGTCCCTTCCAACCCCATAGCATTCTGGGATTCTGTGAATTCAGGGCAGAACAGGATCACGCGACGCGTGGAGAGGCTTGGCCCCATGCAGCTGGCACAAACCCCAGGGCAGGCAGCCAAGGAGTGACGCAAGACAGATATGGGACAACCAGTTCATCCGGTTGGTGGGGCGGCATCTGCCAGCCAGGGCAAGCAGAACATCCTAACCTTCCCCCTTTCCTCCCCAGACGCCCCCGGCCTGACTCACTTGGGGCTCCAGGAAACTGCTATTTCTTTACAACGTTGATGACACTCACAAGACGAGCTGAAGAGATGAGGTAAAGGGGAAATTTTGCAAGGAAGTCCCTTTTCACAGCTGAGCGACCAAACTGTGCCCACCTCATCTCGCGTCAAGCAAGAATTACTTAGAATCATAGAATTCATAGAATCATAGAACTGCCCAGGCCAGAAGGGACCTCCAAAGGTCATCTAGTCTGACCCCCCACAGTCAGCAGGGACACCCCCAACTAGACCAAGTTGCCCAGGGCCTCGTCCAGCCTCACCTTGAATATCTCCAGGGATGGGGCCTCAACCACCTCCCTGGGCAACCTGTTCCAGTGCTCCACCACCCTCACAGTGAAGAACCC